ATTCATTTAGACTAAGATATTCCTAGCTTCAGCTATCAAGTGTGCTAGTCTTCAAGACCCTCCTTCCTTCTCCCTTAACCATGCTATAGTATTTGYAGAATCCCCTCTAATGGTTAAAGAGGATAAACCTAGATGTTTCGCAAGGTGAATTCCTATTAGTGCAGTCAAGATCTCTGCATTTGTAGCATCTGCCTTCCCAATTGGACCACTATAATCCCAGCATATACACTCCCCTTTTCCTCTCAGATTACACACCTTCAATTCTTGCCTGACTTGGAGCCTTGGGCACTACGATCAAAGTTTAGAGTCATCACTCCTTCAACTGTCTTAGGGCCTGTTCATTTGCTCTGAAGTTTGGCATCTGAAAATGCAATAATTACATTAAGAGGTATATTGGTATTAGTGAATTTTTCTTTCCTCTGAACTCTAAATGCAGAGAATGTTATTCTTAATTCAAAATTCAGAATTCTGAAAATGATCAAATATCCATTTTGACCCCATGCATGAGAGTTTTTGTTTATCTTTTTGGGAGTATCATTAAAAAACAAAAAGTTGTATGATTGCACTTTAAAAAATAAGAGATAAGAGGAAACAAACAACCGTTTTTCTCTTGAAGTTAAAAGATTCATCTTAAGAGATAAGAGCTAAAAGAAAACGAATAGGCCCTTAGTCTTACATTCAGTAGGAGTTGAAGTTTATTTTAACAATTTAACTTGCCTCTCTTTGTTCTTTTTAATATCAATACAAATACATCTATTAACCTTCCAAATTCAAATCAATTCAAATATTTGATTAAATAGTCGAATTTGAAATTGGTAATGAGTTTCAGATATCCATCAGATATCGAATTAAATTTGATTCACCATTTGAGTGATTGAACTCAGATTTGAATATGGCTTGATTCAATTCAAATTCCTAAGAAGAAACATGACAAACCTCATTACTGATCACCACCAAGAGGCTCTCATTCTAATTCTTTACAAAACTTTGCTAACATGCACCAATATCACAAGAAAGAAGAAGGAAGAGACCCACATATTTGGGATGTGAGAGGAAAACTTGCATGTAAAAATGCAAGAGGAAGTCTCACAAGAGACAATGGAGGAAAGAGCACCGCCCCTATAAAATCATTATATATATATATATATATATATATCACCTTTGTGATACTGGTATAATGGTCAATCTTTTCTTATTATTCTAATACCTAAAATTAAGAACCTAGTTAATATCAGTGACTTCAGACTAATTATCCAGTGCTTGGCCTTTGAACTTTACCTAGGAATTCAAGATCTGATAAGAAGTCCAACACTCCAACCTAGTCATTTTTGACTTGGATGATCTGTATGAATAATCAAATTGAACATGGAAAAGGGAAATCGAGATCCATATAGTAATCAGATACACCACATTAACACTGTTCTTTCCAATTAAGATCCAGGCCCAATTATGGTTTACATGTGTATATTTTGCTATATAATGCTTAAGCTATATTTTCCAAAAGACAAGTTGATGGTTATGGGTAGATTCTTACATGCAACTTTTCTTGAACCTTCGGGGAAGTAGTTTCATTAAAGATATAATCTATTCAATTGACTGAACAACAATGGAGATTAACTACATATCATACAAATATAAATTTACATGTCAGAACAAATCATTTCCTCATTGAATAACTAGGATACATGGTTTGAGGTGGTTGCCCGGTTTAAGCATCTCTTTCTGTATCTCCATGCCACTTGAATACGGATTGCTGCTCGTCCCCTCCAATAGGGTGACTCATACCTGTCGTGAAGAGAATACGAAATTAATATACGAGACATGTGGCTTTTAAACAATCTGATTAAATCGTCTCCCTTCCTTTTCTCTTCAAACAAGAATTTCTACAATACATGGCCGTTGTTCTACAAGGGCTCTTAGGGATACATCTGAGAGATGGTGCTTACTTCAACAAGGACATAATACTAAGGAACTCTGCATCTCACGAGAATCAAGTAGCACATATATGGTGAAGAGTATCCAGAATAAATGTTGTAAAGAAATTGCAATGCATGCCTTATGCCTATTGAAAATCAGTGACACATGATGCTTGTTAGTTAAAAATGTAGCAGAATGAAGACCAATCATGTTTACATTACCAAATCAAAGGGGTATCCCTATTAGACAGCAGGTACTTCTGTAGGATAAGTATTGGACCTATTGTACAGTTTCGTGTGATTGTTGACTATTTCCAGGTTGGAGTGATTGTCGTATGGTTTGTATGTACTTGATAACAAAAGTACAGATGACTAATTGCTGTGGGGTGCAATTAGTCAAATCTGCCGCTTTTGGTCTGTTTGGACTTGATAACAAAAACTAAAAGCAGTAGTAGCAAGCAGTAGTAGCAAGCAGCTAATAATTTGATTATCTAGATCCAGAAATGTTGGTGCTTTAAGTGTAACAATCAACTTAATGGAAACCAAAGATTCAATAGTATTTTGAATTCCTGAAGGACAGCTTGTATTCAGCAACGGTGGAGAGAATGAGAGTTACCTACAGTTTGTATTCAGCAACGGTGAGAGAATGAGAGTTACCCAATATTTACCATACCACTTGATGGATTAAACTACTTTGGGTGGACCAATGGTGTACAGCTATTAGTAGGTGGAAGAGGAAAATTGGGAATTGGGATGTCCAGGGGGATGGTGGTCATTTCATGTACTTTTTAGAAATTGATGTAAATATAAAGCGGAACACACCCAACAATTTTGGCTGTTCTCTCAATTTTCACCACTTCTTTCTCCTCTTCATTTCTTAAATCTAATCAAACAGAAACTCAATTTAGTAAGAAAAGAAACCTTGAATCAGGAGTTCTAAATCTCTCTAGTGTCCATGCAATATTGACCCTTACATATTTAAGATCAACAAAAAATTTATGATCTTTTTTAATTATGATGGTATCCACGCATATTTTCTGTTACCATAAAGTTATTTGGCAGTTTCCTAGGAAACCAGGGAAACATATAGATCCTTACCTGGGTGTCCAATTTGCTCTATTGCTTGATTGATTTACCGAAACTATGGCCTTGAAATGGTTGGCTATTAAGTCACTTGGCAGTGGCACTTAACATATTGTGCATGGTATAAAATTTCATTTCATTACCTTTAAATGTTTTGTCCATTTCTTGTTTTCTTCTTTGCAATTTATTTTGTTGTTTCATATAAAAGTAGATATAAAAAAGATGTAGATGGGGTTAGCACATAGATGACCTTATGGCTCGTTGAACACGTGAGTTCCGCAAAAATCTTGCATAGAGATTTGTGACTTCTTCTAAATCTGCAGCACGGAGTGAAAATGCTTCTACATTAGTTGCACACCTCACTGTCCTGTTGGAAAGTAATCGGTTTCCTGTCATCTTAATTTTCTGCCCATCTGTCATAAAAATAAAAGAAAAAGATAATCAGTACCACTTGCACTAACCTGAAAATATTATAGCAATTCAATGTTAATTAGAATAAACAAAACATATATTATATTGAAACCTATTAAGGGGCATGCTTGAAATTTGAATTATACAATATATAAGTCAATACTAAGGGGCATGAGAAACAAGAAAGATTCTCAACTGCTATTCTCACTGTCTTCTACTTCTTGTTCTTCTCAAGGTTCTTCCTAGTTCAATCTCAAGCAAACTGAAACTAGACCTATGAGATTATACTGTGACAAGAAGGATGTAACTAACATTCTTATAACCCAGTCCAGCATGACCATACTAAACATGTGGATTTGGATTATCACTTTACACAGGAAAAACTTCTTGCTGGACAAATTTACAGCTTACATTACAACTAAATTATAAATAGCTGACATCCCCACAAAAGGAGTTGCAGAAATCTATTTATAAGAGATTGTTAGCAAGTTGGGCATGAAAGATATCTGAACTCCAACTTAAGGGGGATTGTGGCATTGTGGGGGAATGATTGGGGATCTCTATATAGTAAGACTGATCAAGCATTAGTTATTGAAAGTGGCCAAGGATTAATAGGAGGTAAACAGTAAAAGGAGAGAGATAGAGAGAGAGAGAGAGAAGGAACAGAAAGAATAGAAGAAATAATGATGGGAAGAAAGCCTAATCTCACCCACTAGCCAACCATGCATATATAGCTAATATAAAATAGCATACAATTACAAGAACACCCTCCTCATGTATACTTGTGTTGTAGAGACTGTAATCAGTCCTATTGTAGATGAGAATTCAACAAGAGAAATTTCAGAAAATAGAAGAGAAGAAGAAGAAGAAGAAGAAAATAAAGAAAGAAAGAAATCGCAGAGAGGAGATTTCAGAAGAGTGTGGGTCAGTTAATTATTGCCGCCCCACTCAGTTGCTGTTTATATTTATACTTAAAACATAGTAGACTTACAATATTGTCTCTACTGTTAACACAAATAAACAGCAGCTAACATAACTGAAATAACTAACTAACACTACTAATATGCTAACAGCAACATAAATAACATGCTAACTAGCTCTATACTCCCCCTCAAGTTGGGAGTAGATATTAATCATTCCCAATTTGCATGCATCTGTCTCCAACTTGGTCTTTGGCACTACCTTAGTGAAGAGATCAGCAATCTGCATGTCAGAGACAATATATGGAAGACACATTTCTTGAGAGGCAACTCTCTCCCTAATAAAGAGTCGATCCACTTCAATATGTTTAGTTTTGTCATGTTGAATTGGATTATGGGCGATGTTAATAGCAGCCTGATTATCACAATATAGCATCGGGGGCCTCTCATAAGTAATGCCCAATTCCTCAAATAGGGATCTCAACCATAATACTTCAGCCACACCATTTTCCATAGCCCTGCATTCAGCTTCCACCCTAGACATTTTGCTTCTTGCTTCTCCAAGAGACAAGATTTCCTCCTACAAAAGCATAATACCCAGTGGTGGATCTCCTATCATCAACACACCCAACCCAATCAACATTTGTGTAGACTTCTATTTTCATGTGACCATTATCTTTGAAGAATATGCTTCTACCTAGACATCTCTTCAGATAAGCAAGGATCTTCTCAACTATAAGAAGAAGAGTGTTTCTGGGGGAATGCATATATTGGCTAACAACATTGACTGCATAAGAAATCTTCGGTCGTGTGAGGCAAAGACAAAGGAGTTTCCCAACTAATCACTGAAACATAACCTTGTCTTCAAGGGGCTCTCCCCCTTCTGCACTTATCTTATGATTTTGTTCAATAGGTGTGTTAGCAGGTTTAACACCTAGCTTCCTAGTTTCTTGCAAGAGGTCGAGAACTTACTTCCTTTGGGAAACAAAAATCCCATGTTTAGATTGTGCTACCTCAATGCCCAAGAAATACCACAGTTCTCCCAAATCTTTGACCTCAAATTCTTGGTGAAGCAACTTCTTAAGAGAGTCAATCTCACAGGTATCACTCCCTGTCACCACAAAATCATCCACATATACAACAAGAAGGGTTAAGGAGGAATCCTTTCTTTTAATGAAAAGGGTGTGATCTGATTGAGCTTGAACAAAGTGTGGTCTGATTTGGATTGTACATAGCCAAAATCTTTCCAAAGCAAGTCTGAATCTATCAAACCATGCCCTTGGAGATTGTTTTAGACCATACAAAGCTTTCTTCAACTAGCAAACTTTCTTACCAAAGGCCAAAAGAAGTTAGCATTTAGAAAAGCATTCTTAACCAGGAAGTAACTCCATATACACCTCCTCCTACAAGTCACCATTTAGAAAAGCATTCTTAACATCCATATGAAATAGAGGCCAAGAGAAGTTAGCAGCAAGAGATAGTAAAACCCTGATGGTATTCATTTTTGCAACTGGTGCAAAGGTCTCCAAGTAATCAATACCAAAAGTTTGAATGTATCCCTTAGCCACCGGTCTAGCTTTATATCTTTCAACTGTACCATCAACATTATACTTAACTGTGAATATCCACCTACACACAACAGACTTCTTCTCTCTTGGTTGATCAACTAGTTCCCAAGTATCATTCTTTACAAGGGCATCCATCTCAGCCTTCATTGCTTCCTTCCACTCAGGGACAACAAGGGCCTCTTGAACTGTTCTAGGAATCGGAATGGAAGCAATGGAGGCTAAAAAGGACTTATATGATGATGAAATGTGATCATAAGAAAGGAAATGAGAGATACAATTGGCAGAGGATGAGGTATACTAACGTTTCCCCTTACATATTGCAATCGGAAGGTCAAGGTCATCTAAGGATGGTTGAGGCACAGTAGTGGAAAAGGGTATATCATCAATAGTAGGAGTGGGTATGTCATCAGTAGCAGGAGGGGGTAAGGAGGAGGCAATACCTGAATCTGGTGCCGTAGAAGAGATAGGAACTGGCCTGGACTGATCATTACTAGAACCAACTTGCCGCCACCATCTTCTGTGAAACACCCTCAATTCTTTACACTTTTGACAACTCCCTTCAATACACTCCCCTCCACTTGTAGGAATAGACAAAGGAACATCTTGAGCAAACACACCCTACTCACCACTCTCCCCCTGAGGTGAAACCCTAGGGTAATAAGGGACATCTTTAAAGAAGGTGACAACCATAGATACTGTTATGATTCGGCCTGCCTTGGAGTTCTATTTGTCTGAGATCAGTCACGTAGAAAGGTGGAAGAAAGAGAGAGAGAGGAAAGGAGAAAGTCTAGTTCGAACTGGAAGTCAAAAAACCTAACTCCCATTCGGCCATACATGTGCTTTTATTATTAAAATAATGGAAAAGACATATGTGCCCTTATTTAAGTAAGGAGCATTGGTTCTAACATAAYATTACAGATCAGCAAYCTTAATATAAGTATAAAGACAGAAATACCCCTACGCTAACACT